GGGGGGGGGGGAGGGAGGGAGAGAAATAGACAGAGGGAGCAGAGGAGACAGGCAAGGAGGAGGGAGGATGAGAGGAAGCGATAAAGACAGCGAGCCGACGCAGACAAACAGGAGTAGAGATAGAGAAGGCAAGATATTCCAGTGGTTCTCACCTCTGTCATGAGCTGCTGTTATTGATGTGCCTATAGTCTGTGTAGCGCTCCGTTGCCCTGTTTCTCTAAGCTGCCACCACACACTTAAGACAGTGCACACAGAAACACACATGCACAATATGGCAGCGTGTCAGGAAGGGTAAAAAAAAAAAAAGAGGAAACAACGCAAAAAAAAGAAGAAAAAAAAATCTGCAAGATTGCAAACTTGCATAGATGGGTGGAGCTTATAGCTGACTGAAAGCCAATGCATGAGAGAGGAAGTGGGAGAAGAAGAAAGTATTAGATGTAAAGATCAAGCTATCGAGGCGGACATATAGTAAATTATTAGACTCCTGCCTGCAGAACAATCTAACCCGACACCGTCCCCTTGTCTTCATCAGAGGCCACTTTGTAAATCCAACTAACAAGACACATCAGAGACTCGCAGAATATCTGAGTGTGACTGAATTAAAGAAGAGCCAAGATGAGGGTGAATCTGAGTTCATCTTGTCTTCCCCCCCCGACATGAGCCGACAAGGTGAAAAAAAACAATCTGGATGAATGAACGGGAAAGAGCCAAGCTTTCGTTGTTCCCTCTCTCCTTACCTAAACGTTGAGATGTGCAGTGCAGCCCAAAGAGCGGGGAAAGCCCGCCGGCCTTGTGACATCACAGGGAAGTTGTCTTTTGTGTGACAAGAGACACTCAGTCATCAGCGGTTTCACAAATGTCCCACGCAAAATTGAAACACCGACAATGGAAGGCATTGTTGGACAGAAGTATGAATTGAAAGGGTGTATCTAAAGCCCCTTGGGGGATGATGTGTGAGGGGGGGGGGGGGGTCCTGAGGTGTGCCAGATCAGTCAACCATGAACAAAAGGGAGATTTAAATCATTTGCTCATCCGGTTTTGAGAAGAACAAAAGTCTTCTGTGTTTGGAGTGCAACTGCGCTACCAGCTCAGCTGGGATATTACCAAAATGAATTTACTTGCAACTGTGTAAACCAAACCAATTAAAGTAGCAAGTGATAGAGGATCCAATCAGCCAGAGGCAGCAGATGCAGCTACCCTAATAAGTATTTCCCCACAAGCTTTACTTCTATAAACTTAATAGTGAAGTTCTGAGGGTAGTTGCAAAGGGGTTTCATCATCTAAGGCGAACCACTGGAGAGTGTCTGAGGAGAGGCCCGCCTGCTAAAAATAAACCCTGTTTCCTGTTAATAATTCAGCCCGCTGCTCTTACTCAGCAGTAATCAAATATGAAAGTCTGTAAGGTTGATTGGGTCAGTAACAAAGGATGCCTACACCTTCCTCTAGTTCTACACACGCAGCTCAAAGTTGGAAAGAAAGACCGGGCGAGAAAATCAATCAAGTGAAAGTAAATTGAGAGACAGATAAGTGGAAGACATGTTGTAGGCCCAATGAGGAGACAGAGGATGTGTGTGTGTGTGTGTGTGTCACACACTGTGAAATGAGTCTACACAAAGCTGGATTATGAGAGTTATGAGTTGGTGTTTTTGTGAGCTGTGTGTGTGTGTGTGTGTGTGTGGTTCACATGGTATGGAGTGAGTTACAGCCACACCCTGGAAGTTTTCTGTCACTGTTGACACGGCGTAGTGGCTGTTTTCCTGAGAGCGCACTCTGCTGAGCGCTGACAAATCACGCAGTTCTGCTGCGACAATTGGTTTTTTAATGTCAGATGTGAGTGGGTGGGGGAATTTTACAAACCACCCAGAACAAAGCGAAGCTCTTTTCATCGTATTGTTCCTCTCCAAACACTCTTCTTAATCAGCCGATGAAGGGAAACTAAAAAGTGTAGATAAAGGGATCCTAAAAGAATCACCCGCTGTTTGACTGAAACGATAAGCAGTCACTCCTGAAGCTTAACCTCCGGATAACATGCAGTGTGATCGAATCATCATATCTTTGAGCAAGACAGATGAACAACAAGCAGAAACCTGACTTAAACATTAAAATAGGTTTCAAAGAACATAGCGATCATTCCAGGGAGCAGCTACCTTTAATCCGGAGCGTGCCAAGTCATGTTGAAAACATAACACACAGACTGAGTCACACTTAAGACTCACTTTCATCTATTTTAAATTTAACAGGGGGGGGGGCGTCGTCAAGAAGAAGAGGCAAGAAAGTTGGCATATCTTGTCATAATGACAATTCTGTAGGTTTATTATTGGTGCTCATGTTTCCTAAAGAAAGAGATAACAAACTGCTAAGAGCTTGAAGACAACAGTGATAGATTCGCAGAGGAAGGAAACGCTAAAACCCTCGACAGATTATTTGCCTAATCTGATTTGGTGCCTGCTGAAATTCACAGCAGCCCAACAGCTCAGAGTCTATTAGTGTTTGCTGTGTTTGTAGGGCGGCAGCACACCTATTATCTAATGAGCCTCTCGGTTGGACGTTTTGTAGCCGACTACAGATTATTAGGGTGAAAACATACACAACTCTAGATTTTAAAAATAGATTATGGATTTTTTTTTTTTTAAACTGCATTTGACAAAGAAGTGGCGTTCATCAAGTGTGATGCCACAAAAAGATAAAAAACCTCAAAGTTGCTCTTTTCAAGAGAGTGAACTAAATAAATGCTAGCTGCTAGTATGCTAACAGCGTCAAAGCCCCTGTATTCCTCGCTGGCACTGAGAGTTAACAGTGCTAATGCTAGCTCGCCAAACAGCAGATAAGTCTCTTCGCTGGCTGATTCCAGATTAGAGCAGCATGCTAATCCCTAAGGCCTCACTGCAGGGTCACAATCTCCAGACAGCAGTCTGCTGTTGCTGAAAAATCTCTCAACAGGTCTCACGGGGCAGCAGTTTTTATGGTGGGAGAAGTGCAACTTTAGGCGTTTGTAGTTTGTGCATGCGTTCTCTTACTTGGAGTGACGACCGTGACAGGCGAACACGTGCAAAAAGCAAATTGTAAACACTGTAAATACTGTAGATCTGTTCACTCTCTACTTACTTACTGGAGGTCATACATTCATTTGTTTCCTGATTAATTTCGAGTAAATCGAGCGTTTTATACTTGCCGTGAGTATTACACACGTCGAGTTAACTTTGCAACATCTCAAGTTGTCAAAGTGTTTAAAAAAAAAAAAAAAAAAAAGTAGGGGTAGCAATAATTGCTTCATCAGTTTCCTCTTTAACTGATGCTCCGAAAAGAAAGGGTCAGTGTGATTGATCTGCAGTCTTAAGAGTCTACCTCCTCCCCAGAGGAGCCCTGCAGAGAGCAGCCCAGACTGCTTGGCCCTCGTCTGGGCTCTCAGGTGTCAGATTGGCGGCCCTCTGTCGCCATGCAGGCTGTCAGAAGATTGTGCTGGGCCTGCACAATTTAGCACACATTCATGCATGTGCAGACACACACACACACACACACACACACACACACACACACACACACACACACACACACACACACAGACACAGACACAGACAGTAAAAATAGGACCATACAGACAGATGGGGCAGTAAGAACCTAATGCTTCTCTGCATCCTATTTGATGCATTATGAGCGCATGCATGTGTCTTGGAGTTCAAGTGTGCATCACGTCTTCTCTGCCCCCCCATCTGCTTTCTCAGACAGACGTCCTTGTGAGGGAGGTAAGAAGGATGCTCAGTGACTAAGACCTGCCCTGAGTCACATCTGCCTTCCTCCCCGACAGCCCGCCTACCTCGTTTGATGACTGGCCGCATCATACCCCCCCCCCCCACACACACACATACCCGCATAATTACACTACAGTTCCCATTTGTCCGCTGTGCATAAACAGCTTTTCCTGAAACCCAGTGCTGTCTTCTATTAGATCCCAGAACCATCAAGCAGGCCGGAGGATGATTCTGGCTGTCAGTCGGGCTCAGACGGCCAGCCAGTCCGGGCCATGCCTGGACAACAATCACATTATCCCAACACAGGAACACAGACAGAGAGAGAGAAATACAGCAATCAATATCATACACTGACGTCTGTCTGACCACTTAAGTTCCTCCCAACAAGATGCTCCCCTCCACAAACTGAAAGAGGATATTCAAGCTCCAGCAAATGTTCATATCACAGGATTGTGTCAGTTTAAAAACAGCAGAAAGCGGTACATGTCTGCCTTCTGCACATCCGGCAGCAACACATTGCATCTCAGGAGTTGTGGGATGAGATTTCAGAGCGTCGCGGTTGCTGACACTGCAGTTGCCGTTACGAAAACAGTGACATATTCGCCTTGTCAGAAAGAAAAAAAACAACACAGAAATCAGACAGTTTAATGAAAATATTTGACTCTCGGTACTGCCACTTATGTAACTGCAGAAACAAGAGTTTATCTGCGCTCTGACTGGCTGGCTACGGCTTCGTCAGGCAGAGTGAGTGGTCCAGCACACATCAGCGACACCTCCCCAGCCATCCATCTCTTTCTCTCTCTCTTTCTCCCTTTCCTCTCTCTCGCCTCTGCACATTTCACTTTGACAAATGTACAAGAACAGGCCGCTCCTGCAGGACTGTGGGAGGTGGGGAGGGGGGGGGGGGGATGGATTTGATAGATAAATGTCTGAGGATAGCATTACTGCTCGCTCTTTCTCTCTCTCTCTCTCTCTCTCGCTTTGTGTGTGTGTGTGTGTGAGTGTGTGCACGCACATATGCATACATGTGAGTGTGCACGGGCTCGTGTGGAAAGACTGTTGAGTAGACCGTTTTCGTGAGGCTACCACCCGGACGGCTCATCTCAATAGCACATTAATGTTTAATGGGGACTAAAAATATCTGACATTATAATGCTCTACGGGCTTTTTTGTGTGATGTCTGCGGTCGCAGTCGCAGATCCACAAACCACAGATTCAAGGCAACCGTATTTGTTTTTAAAGCATCGACAAGAACAAATGAGTATGCAAATTAAACTTGTCTGTTAGCATGACTCTATACAGTCCTCAAAACAAAATAAGCAGCTACGTTGTGCACTGGTGGACGGAGCAGAGTAATGAAGGGGGAAACACCTCTGACTGGATCACGACTTAAGCCATAACAGCCATTTGTTTCAATTGTTTTATTTCATGAAAAAAAGTCAACAAATCCAGCATGGAGAACAATGAGCACTGTGTTGCCGCTGTCTCGCGAGTCAACAGCAGTAAATGGGATGATGTATGAGCATGCGTTTCCGCTGGCGTTTTTAGTAAAGTGCTGGGCCTTACCTGCGGACTTGGGAGTGAATTTGTCCCTGTTGGCAGCACACACAGCCAGCAACCGGTAGCCCAGATCCAAGTCATACCCCTGCTGAGCAGCGACGCGACTCACCACCTGGAGGAAGAGCAATGCATCCTTTAGGCTCTCTAAGATGAGCATTGTAGCAATTGTTTTGTAATCAATACATCATTTTAAATACATCATTTCATTACATCATTGCAATCTATCTGTCTGTCCATCACTTTCTCATGCTACCATACAATATTGATGCTAAATCAACAGTAAGCCACAGCTAAGGCATCTTAATCCTTCCACTTTTCTGACTCGTGTGAGTATTTTTGAGCCCGTGCTATCACTGAACTTCATTTTTCTCCAGACAAACGCGCATTCAAAACAAGACACGGTGAGATTAACGTGGAGTCTGCAGTCTGGATCGCTCCAGCGCTCCACAGTCGGGACGAGACTGACGACTGCATCAACCTCCAAGAGAGGTGAGACAGCCAAACCACAGAGCCGAGTCTCTGAAAGGTTATCATCAAACAAGCCCGCTCCAGCCCCAAAGTGAACAGTTTGTCCCTGACTAAAGGTTGCCAGTTGAATTACCCAGACAGACCAGGAACATGTGGAAATAATAGGTATTTGGATAGCCAGCTAAACTGACCACTTTAACTCTGTCTGTGTGTGTGTGTGTGTGTGTGTGTGTGTGTGTCAGAGGACAGTGTAGAGGGAAAGTGAGTAAAGTACTTCTCAGCAGCATCCCCTGAGGGTACAGAGGTTAAAATCCTCCTTTTCCCTCCAATTTGGAGAGGAACCAGTCCTCAGCTGTAAGGTTTTTAATGCTCCTTTTGTGACTTCAAAAAGAGGTTGAACATTTACGGGGACATGAAGCAGGAGCCTCCCAGACTTTAATACAGCCTTAAAGGGGATGCTGAGTGACGTTAAACAGGACTCGGGAGACAGGGGTAAATCATTATTAGAAAGGAAACCCCTTCGCTTTTATCTGCTTACAGATGGCAACTCCTCTGCTCCCTCTGACCTGAACACACACATTACCGTTAACAAGGTCAGCTGGGGTGCCTCTTGGAGAGCACACATAACAGCTAGCAGTGGTCATAAAGTGCCTTTGTCACAAGTAATACGGCTGCTGAGCACTGAATGAAGAACCGTGGAAATGATGTCAATAAACAGGGTTTATTTGATTATCCTAGTTAAGAGATGGCAATATAAAACTCTACAGTTTCACTTCATCATAGTGAATTTATGTTAAGCTGTTAAGGAGACTTTTTTTTTGTTTTAGCTCACAACATAATCTATTCAAGCCAACCATATTATGCAAACAATGACGAGGAATCGTGTTGCTGTCAATCGTTTAATATCCTGCGCGAGTGCGTCTGCCCTGCAGTTTGTACGAGGCAGGCAGCCAGCTTACAGAGGCTAGCATAGATTCAACACGGATTTAACAAGCGTTTCACCTCATAAGCCTTTTTCCAGCATAATCTCCATCCGAGGACGTGCATCCAGGCTCATATTGCTGTCAATATGAGAAGAGCGCTCTGAGAGGTGCTCGAGGGTTACTGGGCCACTGATATTCTCTATTTGCTGGAGGGGGGAAATACGCAGCAGTTGTGTAGTTTATTTCTGCTTGTTGTATGTGAACAACATACTCCTGGTGAACTAAGAAGCAGAAATAAAGTTGATGTCTGCCTGCACTGACATTACCCTCACTTTGCGATAACAGTGTACGCAAAGAAAGACGGAAAAAAACAAACACAAATTGTCAAGCAGACAGGGCTAACAGTGCAGCACTCACAGCTCGGTTATGTCATCTTTTATTGGCTCTGGAGCCGATACTACATTCAGCTACAACCGATCCAACGGGCTGCGATTGATCCACGGTCCTCTTTAAAATCCAGTCCAGCTCTCTTGACACACAACCAGTGAGGTGACGGCACGAAGATAAAAATCCTTGAAAGAATGCGAGGACTTGTTGCACGCTGTAATTCTCCAGATAAGGAGCCGTTTGCTCTCTGAGTGTGATGAAACAATTTGGCTGATGGAAACGGCCCCCATGCTGAGAGGGATCTCAGTGGTGGGCTCTATCGTATAGCTCTTTATCAGCCTTTAAGAGGCTTTTATTGTCATTTACACATTAACGGGCATTTATCTGTTTGCTCACGCTACCACTTCAGCCGGGGGGACAATGTTCCTTCGGCGTTTCAAAGGTTGATCTCAGCGATAGATGCGTGAAACTTTCAATTCTCTGCTCTACAGCCTCTTTCACACATGTGACTGTGTGTGTGTAAGTGTGTGTGTGTGTGTATGTGTTTTTCTGACACAGCTGGGGCTGGCCAGCTCTCTAGCCCTGTGCCCAGATCGATAAATGCTAGCTGCTGAACTGAATGGCGATAGCCATGGGTGACCGGCTACCCACAGTCATGTTCAAGCCTCTTTTTTACTCGTTTGTGTGTGTGTGTGTGTGTGTGTGTGTATGTGTGTGTGTAGAGCACGAAGTGGAGAGAAGCAGTGGGTGACAAGGACTTTAACCTCTGTCACTGGCCCCTGACGGCCTGAGCAGCTGCCTTGGATAACTGCAGGACACAAACATGGTGGCCTGCTCCGAACTGTTTTTACTCAAATTTGAAGGGAAAGAATTGTTTAACCAAATACCAAATGTCAATATGACTCGGACACGAAGCTTGTTTCAGCTGCTGCACCATCTATGTTAACTTAAAAGTAGGCTAAAAGCGTCAGCGGTGGACAAATCCCTTCTCCTAAGTATCCAAAAATCAAATTATTGTTTTGCTCACGTCTCCTGAAAAGTACCTGAAAAACCCAACGAAAACCATAATTACTGTTTGCGTACCGTCAGACATCCCATGAGGCTTTGCTCGAAAGGTCGCTGGAAGGCCCGGGGATCTCCACACCAGTCGAGCAGCTCTGTGGCCGCCGAGTGGAAGTTGGCCGGGTTCTGTAAGTGCTGTGCAAACACAGAGAAGGGAGACTGCCATTAGAAACAATGGGAAATAATGAACGTTTCACATCGGGTACAAATTGGAAAAACAGTGAAAACCAAATAGTTTCGCAGCCCCGCGCTCTCCCTCCAAACCGCCTCGATTTAATGTCTTGTGTTTCTGCACAACCCTGTGAGGACCTTGACTCCTTCCAATGTACGGCCTCTCAGGGCTCTGCTGCATTGTGGGAAGAAGATCACACCCGTATCAACAATGACGCCAGTGTTTCCTGCTAATCTCTCTTGGCAACACCCAGCCTTCACCCCCGTGACCCACACAAGCAAACCAAAATCTTTCCCTCCAATCCTCCTCCCTTCTCTCTCTCTCTCTCTCTCTCTCTCTCTCTCTCTCTCTCTGTTTTCAGAATGTAACGGAGCCTCGGCACCAGAAGTCCACTGGCTGGCTTGGCCGTGTTCACAAAGAAAACAACCTTGGTCCTGGCAGCTATGTGTGTAGACTCAATACGCGCCGTTGGTGTGGTGTCTAATCTCTTTCAGTCTCTCTCGCCTGCTCGCTGAGGCCTAAAACAGTCGAG